ACTGGGTTCCACTAGCAAGAGAGAGGACCCTGGGAACGAGTTTTTGTGCGGCGGTCATTAGTGTGATTACTCTTATCGGCTGTTGTTTTTGGCGAACTTAGACTTGTTTTTAAGATTCGGAGGGAGTCTCAGGCTTTAGGTCACTAATCACAAGACCATCAAAAGACAATCTTGTGACTTCGATAACAATAGCGAGTTCATTGGTAATAGTCAAGAGTTTCACTAAGAAATAACTTAGCGTCGCTTTTAGCGATCGGTATACTGGTAAGACGTGGCATGTTTCTCGAGTTCGTCCTCTTTGTCTGCAGACCAGACACACTCAGCGAGTTCAACCCTTCTCCTCTCTTCCTCCACCTCATTTATATTATGTATTTCTAATATGGGCACTTAACAAATAATAATTTGCAAGAGCTTAACAAATAATAATTTGTTAATAATGTATTTCATATTAGTTTTAATGAATAAATAGGTCAGTCTGCGTGGCCAAAATTTATCCCAACAACCACTTGTCTGGTTTCGATTTCTTGCAGCGCTCTAGCAAACAAAGCTCGACTGTTGACCTAAAAAATTGACATAGGTATAGCTTCATAGTTAAAATTTTGAAAACAAGGGAAGAAGACATAAATCTGTAATTTTCTACCGGAGAAGATATGAAATTCCAACAGCAAAAAATACATGGCCGCAGTTGCACGTGGAATTGGCGAGACAAGCGGCGCTGTGCAGTTAAATGGCTGTTTGGGAAAATACTTTATTTTTGTAATTTGTTTCCTCAAAGTGCAACTCAGTTTACCTGGGTACTTATTTGTTTCTTTATTTGCCAATGTACATTTTTTTATCTTACTATTTTTCAGCGCTGAAAATATTTCAAGGTTTTAGTTTAAACTTCAATCAAATTGCCAGAACTTTATTTTAGGACGCGCAGTTGACAAGTTGTTGAATGGTTCAAGGGTTAATTCACAAGGGCAGTTTATTTTTGGAAAGCGAAGCTTGAGTTTGTTTCGAGGCAACACGGCTTTCCTAGGATACCGAAGGTGTAATTTCTCACATTTTCTAAACATGGTCAAAACTGGACTGTTCTTTACTTTTTTTCCTAAAAGTGAACTGCTAAGTATGAAAATCGTGAGTTGAATATACTATTTAGACTGAATGAATACGCAATATGAACAGTCCACCTCAGGCGGTGTGAATTTTTTTAAAATAATTATTATTTTTATATCTTTAATTTCTATGTCGAGTTTATTTATGTATTTAATTATGTTTTTAACAGTCCGAAATATCCCGATATATTAGGACGGCTGTGATGTCACGAAACTCACGTTTCAACCAATGAGAATGCGTGTTTTGGTTGGAGT